ACATGCCAAAGCCCAGCATTTAGGTGCTCAAAAGCCCCACTCAGCTACTACCATCCCAGGAACTGCCTATGGCACTTAAGTTTCCACCACTTAAGATGGCCTGCCTTACTTTCTGCTTCTAGGCACATATAAAAAATCACCCAAGTTCCTATTTGTTCTATGCCTAAATCCCTGCAGGACTCATACACAAAATTTTCCTCTACTTCTATTGCTTAAGGGAATCAATTCAAAAGATGATGTCAGAACATGCCTCCCAGATCATATCTCACATAAAACTGAGCCAGGGGATACCTGTGTCGCTGCATTTATGCTGAGTCCCTTGGGCTAGGGACAGACATTCAAAAAGTTGGAGCCTGAACTGATTCACTCTTTACAGGGGACCCTAGCTCAGGTCCCTGCCAGTGGGACAGGGAGGGGGCTGGCCAGTTCACTCCAAGCTGCTGCTGGGGTTGGCCATACCCTTGCCGCTGGAACAGCTAGTAGAGAAATGCAGGTCTGTGCCGGTAGGACAGGGGAGGGAAGGGGGGTGGAATAAACCTCATCCCTGCTCCCTTCTGGGGACCAGATTCTGGCCAGGCCCCTGCCCCTGCCTGTCTGTGCTCTGGCTAGGGAGCAGAAGGGCAGGGCCAGCCCTGCTCCACTGGAGCAAAGAGCACAGCCCAGCCCAGAGAGCATGCTGGGGGACTCTGGTTTAACTTAAACCAGGAAGGGGTCTGGGACAAAAGTTGCATAAACCTGTATGAATGTAGTATCAGACTTAACTGATTTAACTCAACCAGATTTATCTCAAACCAGTTTCGGCCATTTTGAAACTGGTTTATGCACACTGAACTTATGTTCTGTTACAGGTTTAAACCAGTTTCTGATCACTTAAACCAATTTATGTGTAACTTCTGTCCCTAGACTTGGTAATTAAAGCATTCACCTGAGATACAATTGACCCAGCTACAATTCTCTCCTCTATGTGATTAGGAGCAAATATTTTAATATGAACTGTTTAGGATAGTGCTCTAATAGAGGGCAACCATCTCTCCCAAGATGGATCCATTAATCTTTGCAGCTGAAACTGGCCCATTTACCCAGTGATTTATATGTTCAAGAATCAGGGAGTAGAATCCCATTTCCCCAGGTGAGTACTCTAGTTGTCAGGCTACAAAGTTGTTCGCTCTCTCGCTCTCCCTGCAGTGCAATGAATAGTTTAGTATTTTATGAAATATTATTTTTTATGTCTAGTTTTCTTGGGTGCCCAAATCAAGATGCACGATTCTCTGAAAATCAGGTCTCTTTGAGGGGTCTTAAGTTAGGCAACAAACATCGCTAAATTAAACAAACTCCAGGAAACCACTTATGCCGTGAGTTATTATTTGAAGTCAGAATCTGACCTGAAATACTTAAATCAAGTCACGTCCAATCATTTCAGATCCAAAGACAAATGAACTCTTTGTGAACTCCTTATTTGGCTTGAAATACACAGGTGGTTACCACCTAAACTTGTTTCCTTATAGGCAATTTAGACCAGCTGGAGGCTTAGCGGTCTCCACTGTTTTCATTAGTACAGGTGAAGAAATAGCTGAGCCTTTTTGATTATTTGCTCTGAGTAGCCGTGTAGCTTCAAAGACATCAGGCTAGGCAGCTGCTTTGCTTTTGTACAAAAATGTCGTGGCTGGTGCTGAAATGATGGAATTCTCTCAAATCCTTTCCTAGCATTTGTGTATGATTCTTGTGTTTCTTTGGACTGCTTTTCAGTGCTCTGATTTGGATTTCCAGGGAATGTAGGGTTCATGATGTATTCTGATGTGTGAAATAAGCCAGTGGGGAAAAACACCAAACAAAAGGAAAATGTCAAACCCTGCTAGTACATCTCCATGCATTACAGTAGCATGAAAATGTGATGAGATTCCTTTAAATTAGATCTTAAAATGGACTCTTAATTCTCATCCCCTGCGCATACTTAGTGGATGTCTTTTAATATTGTCTTTTTGGAAAAAACTCAAGCAAGTATTTGGACTTTGCAAGCCTGTGAAAGGCTTGGCAACTCATGAGCTGTAATTGCTTTCCCTTTAATGTACTATACTAAAGATGGGAAGTGTGCTCGTTTCCCTGCTTCTTAAATCAAGTTTCTTCGTACATGATGTGAGCCTGATTGCTAATTCAGAGCAATTATGTGGGTAGCACCACCATTGGGCATGTTCGCTGCCGAGGGGAATTTTTAACTCCGTTTTACAAGTACTATTGATTCCATTACTACATTTAATCCTGCTTGTATAATTCCACCTCTCAAATTTCACTGGAGAGGAATAATTACAGTTATGGAGCTATACACTGAATTTTGCATTTTATTTATTTTTATCTTAATTTTTAAATGTACATAAGGACCAATACATGCACTAAGCAATATAAAGAGTCACAAAGGGGCCCGCTCATAACCATAGTGACATTGTGAAAAAGGTCATTGCATAAATGAGAATTTACATGCAGATGTTCAAAGACACCTAACAGACATCCAGCTAGCTGGTTTGTCAGTAATTCTTTGAGGAAAAAACTCACAGCCAGATCCTATAAAGGATTCAGACTTCTAGAAGCACCACAAAGCTGAGATGCCTGGATAGCAGAGTGGGACCCAGAACCCCATGCTAGGTGCCTTCTACATGGTGAGAGTTGGGCACTAGAGAATGGGATACAAAACAGCCAGAGTCCTGAACAGGAAGCCAGCATATCTAGGTTAGGGACAGACATTACACATAAACCAGTTTAAGTGATCAGAAACTGGTTTAAACCTGTAGCAGAACAGATGTTCAGTGCATATCCACCAGTTTGAAAATGGCTGAAACTGGTTTGAGATAAGCCTGGTTGAATGTAGTATCAGACTTAAGTGATTTGGCTCAAACCTATTTATACATCTGTCCCAGACCCCTTGCTGGTTTAAGATAAACCAGACTTCCCCCAGCATGCTGTCTGGGCTAGGCAGGGCTGTCTGGGCTAGGCAGGGCTCTCTGCTCCACAGCAGGGCTGGCCCCTCCCCTCTGCTCCCTGGCTGCAGCTCCAGAAGAGACTTGCAGGCACAGCAGGGTCTGCCTAGCTTCCCCTGCCCTACCCCCCACCCCAGCTGCTCGCTAGACAAGCAAGGATCCCCCCCTCCCTCCATCCTTCCCTCCCATCTCCCATAGCAGCAACCCTATGCATGTGGCATGCTAGCTAATGCTGAGAGGTATCTCTGTGTGTGTGTCTCCAATTTCACTGGGACAGAAAGATAAAACAGTGACCACTTAGGGCTGTTTGGAGCTAAATCAACAGGTCAACCAGTAAGCTGTTTAAGAAAAGTTTGAAATAATGGGAAGAAGCTGTTGTTTTGCTAATGAGGTGATAAACACTTTATCAGCCCCTTGCTAGCTTGCTTGCCTGTCAGTTTGCTGCAGACAGTATGACAAAGCAGGGAGGGAGATTGAAAAGCTCTGTATCATCAAGAGATGCATGCACTGCACACCCTGCCTTTGCCTCAGAGTGCTAGCAGGGGGCTGGGGTCTAGCAACACTCCCGCCCCTTGAGCAGTGAGTGGGGAAAAGCCTGGGATGGTGCAGGCAGACCTCCCTAATCAGAGCGTCCTGCCAGGGCCTGGCCACATCCCCCCTCAGCTCAGCAGTGTGCAAGGAAGGGAGGGCTGCTCTAGTGCCCCTTGGCTTCTAGCCTGAGCCACTGCAGGCATGTGCCTGCATGTCTGGGATGTCTGTGCAGTTACAAAGTGATTTAGCCTAGCCAGGTTAAACTAACCTGAAAAGATTGAATCAAGTCAGGCTCAGGCTTTTTGAATGTCTGTCCCTAGCCCTAGAGTCAGCACAATCAGCACAAAGATGTATAGAGGTAGCCAATAGAAAATGCTAAAGACTGAAGTAAGACTAAAATCCCACCCACAGCTTCCTTATTCAGGGCTGCAGAGATGAACTGTTGCTTACCTGGGGCTTATTACCCTAAGCCCTTTCCTGAAATTAAGTGCCAATGCCCTCTCTTTCAAAACTGATCAGGGCTCATGCTTTCAAAAATCTGTTTCCCATGTTGGAATCCCAAATTTAATTCCTTTTTCAACCTGAAGAGATGCAAGACAGTGCCTTAGCCACCAGGCTGGAAACTAGTTGGGGTGCAGGATGGGGGGAAAGGGGACCCAGAGGAAGCTGTGTCACTGTGCAGGAAATAATTCAAGATTCATTGGACTAGATACAGAGCACAAGAAGGAGGCTGAATCTATGAATTAGTGGTGAGGGTACTCTCCTTAGACTCCAGTGACCTGATTAAAAAGTGGGACAAAAGGTATTGTCTCATATCCACTAGAATCAATGGATTTTTAGTCTCTGGAAGACACCCAGAGAAAGGGTGCATTGCCCTTTTCCACCTTCAGTTACACCTGTGAATGTCAGTCATGTATCTTAGTATGCTGCAATTTCAAACCCATACTGTAGGAAACCATGTTAATAAACCCCATTCCCTCCTCCAGTCCTAACCCTCAAATCTAGGAAAGGTTTTTTTGGGGTAGGGGTTAGAAATCTGATACTATCCTGCCTCTCACTGATAAGCTGAGAAAAGTTCATGAGAATCTTGAGGGCTGACTGCAGCCTAACTTGCAACAGCAACCATGGCAATGCAACAAGGGTTCAGGCGTGTTGCAGGCACTAATGTGCACAGTTGACAGCCTAGAGTTTGCAAGTCTAAGGCCACAACAGAAGCCAACAAATACCAACAAATCTGTAAATTCTGCTAAATACCTTGTCACAAAGGACTGAAAAAGGGAATGGAAGCAAAGGTTCAGATTCTCAAGCTAGCCATTTGTGAAAAGGCTGCAGATAATCCACCACAAAAGGTAAATGTAGCTACTGGCTTCTAGCCACTGCCTGACTCAGATTAGACCCAGTTCTGCAAATGTTACAGGAGGATGAGAGAGGGGAGGAAACACCTACTTGATGACACTGCTTGAAGGAAAGGTACAATGCTACCCAGTTGCTTTTGTGTGTCTGGCAAACTTTTATTAGACAAAATAAAGGGTTCAAATATCCAAAACAAACCAAAACAGATGCAACATAATCAACATAGAAGAACCACGGTGCAACAAGGATTCAGCATTCAACAAGATCTGGGAGTGTGTCAGCCTGATCTTCGGCAGACCCCTCTGAAAATAGGTTCCTGGGGAATTCTAGTGTAGGGAGGTTACACATAAAACCAAAGCTCCCAGCATTCATTCATCCCCAGTTTTGATTTCACCAAGCACACAGATAAACACATACATGCTCCCTCCTTTGGGTTTGGAGTCCTTTAAACGGACCAATAATCTCATCCAGTATGGCTTCCTACATCAGCACATGAGCAGTTTGCTTCCCAGTAAGCTTCAACTTCCCACAGCTAGGAGTATGGCCAAAACATTGCAGTAGCTTCTGAACATCTTGCGTGTTGCAACTCTTCCCCATTCCTTGCTGTATCACACTGTCGAACTGACAGCGTGTCCATGAAGTCATAGGTGCTCTTGCCATCTCATGTCTGCATATTCTGAGTTGCAGCTTTCATACGTTTCTTCTACCTTACCTATACAACTACTCCCCAAGATACCATGAATTCAATACCTCCGAAGGAAGAAAGTTAAGAATGCACGTAGGTCATGTTGACAAATAAGGAGAAAGAAGAGAGGGGAGAACAAAGTTAAGTAGTACCCACCACTCCATAATATCACTGAAGCAAAGTTTTGGAAGGTTTGACATTTTATGAATAGTAAAAATTATCATCCACCCTTGCACTAGCTAGGACAGCAGTGCAAAGGCTCTGTCCCTTCACGTTTCAGGACCTAAAGCAACCCTTAGCAGGAAGAAACATCAATGGTAGGCATGCTTTTGAGTGTTTTCAATCATACTTCAAAGCATCTGCTACTGGCCGCTGTTGGAAATCGGTCAATGTTCCCGGGTAGCAATATCCATTGCTATCTTTTCTGGTTATAATCAAGTATCCCACCCTTGCGGGATCCCACTAAGTCTCTTAGCACAGGCAAATGAACGGATCCCAAGTGTCCTCCTGCAAGACCCATAATCTCAAAGACTCCTTTTAAATAGTTAATAATAACAATCCTCCTTTAACTAGGATAGATTGCAATTGCCTAGATCTACGATGTGGCTTCTACTTGACATTTGAGAATTCAGATTCCAAATCAAGTGTATAATGCATCACGAATACCAGCAAATGTAATTAGAACCAAGGGGGGACGGTACATTGCAATTTGACCTGTAGAACCAGATCCTCTAATGGTGTAAAACAAAGTACCTCCCCGTGAGTCTAATGGAGCCATCCTGATTTACGCCATTTCAGCCTGATTTACTTAGAAAATCTGACTTCAAGAAAGTTCTCTGTACATTCTTCCCCAAGCAAAAACTGTCAAGGCAAAAATGATAATATCCATGCTTGATTTGCCAATAATTTATACAGAGACACCACTATAATGTATCTAATCCCTGAAAAGATTCAGTGGCTTGGTTCCCAAGTTAAAAGGAAAGCATGCAAATGCTGTAATAAAATGTATCCCATTTAATCAACTGAACACATAACAGACTGATTCTCATTGTTTTATGGCATCAAGTAACAGAAGATGTCATAGGCAACAGTTTACTTAATGAATTGTTTAAGGCTTCCAAACTGTGCCTTTTATCGGAAAATGAAAATAACATTTTTCTCCTTGTATCTTCAGGGAGAGGAAAGAGGAATAGTGAAAACCAGCTAAAAGACATCAGAACTAACTTGCTTACTGCTGGAAAATTCCATGGTATTATTTTAAACTTAACTTCAATCATTTCTGTAGGACCGGTTTGTGTCTATTTCCATAGTACTGCACCAGTATTTTTAGACCGCTTGAAAGAATATTGTATAATAACGTGACAGATCATTTGGAACCACAGATAAAAAACTGCCATATACTAAAGTCTGCAGGAGCTGACAAAGAGTGCTGTTTTGTAGCTAATTGGATAAATTCCAAGGGAAACCCCAAACAAACCCTCCTTGGTATGAACCAACCGAAATATAGTTCATTTAAATTTAAGGCATTTTGATATCTCAGAGACCTGGCTCCAATGGTAGAATAAGAATCCCAATTCTTTCTCAATGGCTTGGAAATTATGTACAGATAAGGGCTGCTACTTGACATTTAAGAGACAGAAACACTGGTAACAGGCAGAACTATGTGGAAGGTGGGAATTCTGTAACTCCATCCATCACTAAAAGCTCAATGTAGGCTGCGGTTCTACTAAAGATCTCCAATCTGAAGTTTCACATATTATTTTTACTTTATGAATGCCGATCAGATAAAAATCTTTGATGCTACAGCACACTAATTGAATAAAAAAAATTTTAGAAATATCTTCATAAAAGACCAGCAAAGAACTGAAATCCCAAAGCCATTGCCATTTACTAAGTAAACATGTCACTGATGATGTGTGTCGATGATATAATGACAGCAAATACAATGTACAATAATAAATGCATAACGGTACAAAATATACAAAAAGGAATGCATTTAATTTACATTCAACAATATTCCAATATGGTGCGACACCTCATAAAAATCCTTTTCTAGCAAATGAAGTGCAGTTTCATGAACAAAAAGTATATTCAACACCTGTTAAGGTGTCCAAAGTATTTCCCGTCAAAAGAACAAACCCCAGTTTCTGCAATTGGATATATAAAATAATTAAGTAAAATTTCCCTGAACAAGAAAGAAAAACCTCTAATCTTCATAAAATTTTCTTCGACATCTTAGAATACAATAAAATATTCAGAATGCAGAACAATCTGTTTTAATTTAATTTAATTTAAAAGTGGGCTGTTGCCATAGGGGTTGATGCAGCGCAGTCATATAAAATAACAGATCTATATTCTTTATAATAAAACTACCATTTCTGCCTATGTGTCTTTTCCAATGTTTCATATGCATGTCAATTCATATAGTTTATTGTAATGCAAACATGTGTATGCCTAGAGGGACAGTCAAGATTGGTTCCTTATCTCCTCCTAGCAATACACAACTTTTGCCTGCATGATTTTCAGATTTAAAGATTTTTAGACCCAAGTTTTAATTAATCATGAGTTCAACTCAGACAGGAATTTCAGGAAATTAGTTTTTGATAGATTGGATATTATGCAGATCACATGCTTTTGATGGGGTGGATTATTCAGTGATTTTCTAGGCCTGATTTTTAAAGGATCTCCACTTAGCTTTCAATTTCCTAGGCACCATCTTGTGCCCTCATTTAAAAGCAAACAGTTGCTCCCATTGAAAGAGGAACCAATTTAAAATGTTAACCCACATTAATACCACTAGGCGTGTCTACACGTGCATTAATGCACTTTTCCTAATGCGCACTAAATTTAGTGCTTCCAATGTGAGGTACTAAATCAATGTGTATTAGGCTGCCCTGATGCACAGTAGTTCAAGCACACACTTTTTAAGTGACGCTTACTGTGCAATAGCCTATTTTACCAAACATTAGCATAACAGTACTTTTTTTACACGGCGCTCTAATGCACAGTAAAATAGGCTACTGCACATTAAAGCGCACGTGTAGGTACACCCACTGAGGATCACTATCCTCTTCTAGTACTCAGATTTGTGACAGTAATATAGGATTCCAACTAAGAAGTGGTCCTTTGGGTCATCTATTAAAGGTTTGTGCTTTTACAGCTAAGGTTCAGTTCCTTCAGTTTACATGAACCCTAGAAGGTTGGGACACAATTGGTGGTCCATATGGGATACTGAGCTGCTGTTGAATCAGCATCCTGAGAGAATGCTCTGGAGTAGGTGCCCTGGGTAGAGAAAAGTGTCATTCATGTTGTGGGTCTTGGTTACCCTTCAGTGCTGACAACATGTAAACAAGCTATGAATCAACTATTGCCTCTAACCTAGTGGATCTGGGCACACAGCAGCAGCTCACACATCGAGGTCCAGGGGGCAAGTCTACATGTGCCCCTGACTACACAGTTGTTATTGCACAGTTATCTAATACTTGCAGCGAGTACTTTAGCAAGTACTAAATGACTGCACAGTAACTGCTGTTACTACATAGTCTCAGCACCACATGGGTCATTTCTGACCCTGCTTGTAATGCGCAGTAGCATCAGTGTCACACTTTGTGCCTGCTGATGCTACGTCGCCATAGAGATGAACTATATTGCCATAGCTCATCATTACAGCAGTGTAACATCTCATGTAGACGCTCCCAGGGCTTCTGAAATTTAATCCCGCCAAGATTGTTATTACATTGGCATCTAAATGGGTTCGACCTGTAAATGTAAAATTGTGCCTGCTACATTAGAGGCTGTTGCAAAACACTTAGAGCCTTGTTACATGGTAATTTTGGGCAGCTTGTGGAGCTCTTAACCCCTGGATTGTCCGCACTTTAACATCTTAAAGCGGTTTTAAACACTCATTAGGCAGATCAAAGTTGTGTCACCCCAGACTAAGCGTGTGACTGCTCCAAATTCCAAGCTAGCACTAACACCAATCAACAATTGTGCGGCTCACAGTGTAAGGTGTAACAAGGCCCTGACCTTCTAAAGTATTATCCTCTCCAAGAATCAAAACTCATCTATGTTTCTTCCCCTTCAAGTACCGTTGACCATTTTAAGAAAGACTTGAAATGCTACAAAAGGAACAGTGCAGAACCTTTGTAGAAGATTTCCAGTCTCTCAGAAGAATAATTTCTTATGATGTGTGTGGAAGGAGTGAGAAAAAGTGATAGGTACCTATAAATCACATTACATGCCTGAGCAATGCCCAGGTGAATATCTCATGTCATTGGCAGAATGTCTCTCTCTTCCTGAGTTAAATTTCATTTTCAGTATGGAATCCAAGTGTCTGCTTTCCTTTTTGGCAAGGTACTCGATCACGTGATAAGGCAACCCACTCTTTTGTTTTGATCTTCAACTTCTCTCTCAAGCTAAACTTTTGTTAGAGAGATCACCACTAAGATGTATGTCAGAATGTGTTTAAAATGTGGTCCTGTAAAAATAGAAATCAGGTTTGTTTCTTTGAAGGCAGCAATAAATCGTCATATATTTTGGGATCTTGAAGATTTCAGCTGAACAGATTCAAAGTGATCTTCTTTCTCCTGCAATGTAAACGAGAGGTTTTCAGCAACCAGCATTTCTCATCTTCATTACAAAATGTGCTTCCCTCTCATCACTCCATATAGCCAGCCATAAACCAAATTCCTTCTTTCTGTGACTCCAACACACCCCCTTTTGAAGACATTTCAGTTAGAAAGAGCAATTACCGCTCTCTCAATTAGAGAGAGCAGAACGTGGATTTGTCACACCTCCAATCAAACAAAAAAAATAAAATCAGGAGAAACTTCATATTTTGCAGTGTGGCAGAAAGATTTTTATTTTTTAATGCTTGCTTTATGGGTGTCGACAGGTACTCCCTTAGAAATATGCACAAATGGGCATTTTGTACAGTATTGAACTGATTGATCCACGTTAGGGAGTCTATGGCAAATTTTACAAGACATCTTACTACATCATGTAAAGAAAACAACAACAAAAACCCCAAAGCCTAAAGTCATTAAGGCAAGTCATTTGAGCAAAGAACTCAGATGGAGAAATTGTTGAAATCTATCCCGCCTTTAGTCTGCTGTGGCCTTGGGCATCTCCTGTAGACTTCAGCTGATCCAGGCACTTAGCTATGGATTGACCTTTACTCCAATGCTTAACTTTGAAACAACTGTCCTATTGATTTCAATGGGATGACTCAGTAATGAAATCAAGCATATGAGTAGTGTTCACAGGATTAGAGACTACAATGCGACTATGCACATGCTTAAACTTAGGCACATGTTTAAGCTGACCTGTGCTGAACTGTGTCCAGTCCCCCAGCTGTAAAACAGGGATAACATTTTCCTTCCTCAAAAAGTTGATTTCAGGATTAACTACTTAATGCATTTGAAGTGCTACAAAGATGAAAAGCATCATGCACTGGAAGTGAGAGATGTGCTACTTATTATCCTTTAATTATGATGTCCCTGCCTTTTTTACTGAGAAAGAAATAGCTTATATAAGAATACAGAACTCATTTTTCAATAGATTTCATTTCACCTTTAAATGGATTTCATCTTGAAAGATTATTTAGTAATTTATCTCTATCAAAATAAAAATTACATAAAGGCAAGCTGCTTAACTGGTCACATTTTCGAAGCAGGAAGATACCACAACTGCTTTGTTTCAAGGAGCAGAAGAAATAGAGATGTGATATTGATTATAAAGTTATGACTTTTTTTTTATTTGGGTATTTTGCTATTGTGTTGAATGGCTGGTTGGAGGATGTGGCAGTACGCTGGTTGTACCCGCCACTTTAAGATCATCAGGCAGGCTGTGGAACAGCTGGGAGGTGAGTTTAGAATTGATTAGGTGGTCACTTGATTGCAGGGGCCGCCTGATTGGAGGAGGGCTGGGCAGACAGGGTATAAGCCCAGACCCTGAGAGCAGGGCTGACAGTTACATCTGGGGGAGCTGGAGGAACAATATTGCACAGCCTGAGGACTGCAGCTCTGGTAATACCTGGAGGTTAGGGTAGGAACTATGGGAATAGAGGAGGTTCCTGGGTAAGACTTGAAACTACACTCTGCTGGGGTTGGTTGGCATGGTGGGGCTGCCTGTAGCAGGACAGGAAATACCACACGTGTGCCTCCCCAGTGAAAGGCAAGGAGAGGGTGCTTAAAGCCTCAGCCCCCACTGCCTTGTGTATCACCCTACAGAGGGGAAAGGCTTGGGGCCAAGGTCCACCAGGAGGGACCTAAGGCCTATGGAGAGTAAAGTGTGTCCTAGTGAGGGGTTGGAGTGAGTGAGCGCAGTCCAGTGGGGGACCAAGGGAGTGGTCCAGTGAGAGGCCAAGGGGTCAAGGCACACCAAGGGGTGCCCAAAGCTTAAGTGGGCCAGAGGCTAAGTGCAGTTCAGCAAGGGGCCGAGGGAGTAGCAAGGAGAATACAGGATACCATCTATAAGGCATGGGACATGGTATAGAGGTATCTCGGAGCTGTGTAATTAGCCCTGAACACCAAGGCCACAAATGGGCAGCCTCCCGCATTCATCACATACATTTTACATCAAGGTGTGGCAGGAAAGTACAGGGGTAGACTGCCCTAGAATGGGGGGGCATCAATCTCTTTGGGTGCCTGGGGACCCCTCCTTCCCATGCCTCCGGTCATGGAAAGGGGGGGGGGGGGAAGAAACTATCAATCAGTTATTTTGTTGGAATTTTTTATTAGCCTTTTTGTAAACTGAAGGAAAAATATCAACTCAAAGCCTTCTCACCCAAATAAGACTGTGGCAGCTGACTCAAAGTGGTTTCTGTATCCATGTTTTATGTTTTGGGATACTGGTCACTGTTCTCCAGTATAATGTATTTAACATTACTGATTTAAATAGTATTTTTTCCAAGTTGATACTCGCTAGCATGGATCAGATCTGAATCTTAGACAATGAAATTCCATAGCTCCTAGGTCAACTTCGTGCCTGATTTGTTTGAAGACACTGAAAGGTAAAGTATGCAAAGTTTACTAACTATAAGAATCCACAGCTAATGCCGAATAGCCTTGGCTTTTGAAGTAAGAATCTACCTGAGAGAAGATAAATGTTCCAGAATCTCCCAAATTAATCACCTTGGGCATTTTTACATGTTTCCCAGGGGTGGGAGATGCTTTAATTAAAGTATCTCTGAGAGCCACTCTAATTAAAGTGCCTGCAGCATCTCATCTATCTGTGTCCCCGTGCTTCAAAATGGTGGTGGGGGTACTTTAACTAAAGTCCATTGAATGAGCTGTTCCCCCAAGCACTACCAGGAGTAACTAGGAATAACGGCCATAAGTTGACTGAGGGTAGGTTCAGGCTAGACATCAGGAGGCACTACTTCACAGTCAGGGCAGCTAGGAACTGGAACCAACTTCCAAGGAAAGTGGTGCTCGCTCCTACCCTGGGGGTCTTCAAAAGGAGGCTAGATAGACACCTTGCCGGGGTCGTTTGACCCCAGCATGCTTTCCTGCAGGGGGTCAGACTTGATGATCTGCTCAAGTCCCTTCCGACCCTACCAACTATGAAACTATGATGCTGATACACGAGACGCAGAGGCTGACTGAGTGCATAAATTAGCATACTCCAGCAGACTTGATTAATCGAGTCTGCTCTGACATGCTGCAATTACAGTGCATCGGAGCAGCCTCCCCACATGTCTACAGGCACCCCTTGAGAGTAAATTAATAATACAGACTACTCCAGCCTGTGACTAGTTTATCCCTACAGACCTACTAGAGAGAAGCAATTTGCCAACAGAACATCACTAACTTGTTCCTGGACTGCAGTTCAAATTGCAAAAGAACCAAAGAACTTGCAAGCCCCCTACTGTCTTAATTTTACAGTTTTTATATTAAATTACGGTGTGGATGTGAAAGGGTAACTGTAGGCACAAATGTGTGAGCACCCATAAAGCCCACATGAAGAAGCTACCTGAAAGTTGTTTCCCAGGTGAAAATCCTTAAATCCTAACCCTACTCATTAGCACTTGTTGTGGGTTCTGTCTTCAAATTCTGAGAAACTTGTAATCTCCAATATCTGCTAATAAAAGCTGTGGAATTTAAGATGATCAAAAGTGATCTCTTAAAGTCTTTTATAACTGCTTTGTTGTAGGGTAGAGAGGAAGGGGTAGCCACCACACAAGAATAAAATTATAAGGAAGAAGCTTTATTATTAGCTCTGAGATTGTATTTCAAATATTAGATAGTAATTTGGTTTCAGCATTCAGATATTTAACTACCTCCACATTACAGGTTTGATTGACTTTGGAAAAATATTTCAGTTAGAATTTATAACTAAGCTAGCAGCTACCTCCTTTGAATCCTATTTAAAATTTTAAAATGTAAGCATTTAGCATTAACTTGATTTAACCTCAAACCAGTACTGAAATTCACTCAATAACTTGACCTTAAATTGATAGTTACATTGTTTTATTTTTGCTTTACTTTCATATTACTAAGAATAACTTGGATTATAGGTTTTCTTGATTTTTTTTTTGTTGCGTTTCCTTAAATGTTTTACTAGCATTTATGAAACTGATATGGAGCCATAAGTCTCTGGCTAAGCAATTTGCATTGTTTGGTAACCTTTATAGACATCAGCCACTCAACCTAAAACCTTGACCAGCTCCTCTTAATTAGTTAGTCCCTACAACATTTGTCAAACATTTATACTTACACAGCTCTTGTCCCATCAAGGCTTACAAACTCATGTCACTTTAGACATGCAAGGAGAAGAATAGGCTTCAAGGGGACAGCTTGTAACCATGTCTGAAAGATCAGGGCCTTGACCTGCTTTTCATAAAATATCTATCCAAAAAACCACGGGGATTTCTTCTCAATGCTCTCATTTTGCTGACAGTACTACAAATAGATTTTCCTTTATTTAAAGAAACTCTTAAGAATACAGCAAGTGCAAAAGTGGTAAAAGAAAATACCTTATTTTTTTTTGCATATAACAAACCCTGGAATATAAGACGCATCTTGTTTTTGAAAGGCAGAACAAAAAACGATCTTTTCTTGTAGTAACTGAGTAGCAGCAGCTAGGGAGCCAAGCTTGGTCATGGTCCTGCTCCCTATGGATCACTGGAGATTTTAATTTTGGGGTTAGCAGATAAGTGGCAAAACCTGCTCTTACTATAATTCTGCTATATAATGTGCCCTCTGACTTCCAGCAGCTGCTTTTTTTTTCACAGTATGTGAAACATATGGTACTTATTCACACATTGTATAAATACCTTGTAGGTCCCCTTGCAGCTGGAAGCCACTAAGGCCAAGAACTTGCTGAAACAAACAGGACGTTGAACATTTATGTGGACAGCAGCCTAGTTACTAGTTATACTATGTGGACAGTAATATGAGTCAACTGAATCCAGGGGAGGAATTCTATTTCCGTTTGTGCACCTAAATGGCAGTATCCTAGTCATGCAAAAATCTAGAACTTTTGATTCCAAAATGATATCTTTTATTAAACCAACTGAGAAATTGCAAAAAAATATTTTTTTTTTCTGCAAGCTTTTGGGCTCATGCGCCCTTCATTAGGCTCAGGGAAAGTTCAAGATGGTAAAAAGTCCCCATATGTAGGAAATAAACTTCATTTTTGTACAGTATCCTAGTCATGCACCTCAGTGTTTTGGACCCTGCCTCTGCACTGTGGACACATAAGCATGTTCACATGGATTGAGCATGCGGAATCAGCTACCCACTGGCCATGAAAGAGTAGGTCCCCCCCACCCCCTACTTTGTTTTAGTCTCAACAGCTGATCAGTTAGGTTATTAGGCCAGGAAATAGGAGACTAGGTTCTAGCCCTCTCCCCATTTCCTCTTCCCGCAACTAGAGTGGTCTCAGAGCCTGAGTCCCTAGCACTGCGCACCAACCACCACATGGCAGGGTAGGTGTTAACCAGCTGCTGCTCCAATTTAAAATTCCCCTGGTCCTCATTTTCCCTCTTTTAGAAGATAGGCACTATTTTAGCACTTCTCTAGGAAGTGTTGACAGAGCAGTTAAGGCACCTCCCTCTGGCTCCAGCGGTATTTATTTGAGCATTGTTTGCAACTTCCAAAAAGAATCATAGTTTGCAGGTGTGTCCAGGGACTGCCAGACCTGACAAAAGCCACCTTGCTCTTTTCTCTGTCATGGGCAATGGGAGTGTGAATACATTAACCATTCCAGCCAGATGGGCCCTGTAGGCACAGGCAGACCTATGCCCCACCTTTCTTCAATTATTTTCTCTCTCCTTGGGGAAAAAGAACAGAAAGAAAGAAAGATGTGGTGAGGACTGTGCTTCCCCATCTTTGGCATTAATGAAGAATGATGCTTATAACATTTGGTTTAAGAAATAATTAATACATTCCAGTTATCTGCAGGGATAAGGACAGAGACTTAAACAAGCTAATGAGGTACTGGAAACTGAGTTTGCCAGCTTTGATTATCCAGCAGGCAAAATACACCAGCCTAGCGATATCTGACAGGCTTGTTTTAAAAAGGAAACAGAGTACAGGGCAGGCTGCTCAAATGAATACAGAAATTTGACTTAAGAATAGGATGACTACAGAGTTCAGGAGGTAGAGTGGTCTCCATTCTGGATATGAAATATGAACTGATTTTTTTAAATTTTAAAATCTATTTTCCTAGCCATCCCTCCTCTTTTTTTCCTAATGATTAAGGGGCAAATGATGCCAACATGATCACCAAGACCAGTGCATTTGCCATGTGTCCTCACAAGACTAAATGCGACACACAGCAATAGAGCTGACGCAACATTTCACTACATTCAGCCATAGCGAGCTGATGCTTTTCACAAACAATTCTAAATAACTGTCTTTTCCCAGGGTTTAAAATTGAACAATTTAAAAGAAAACATTGGAAAATGACCACACTGTATTTTTAGAAGGAAAACTGAAATTTGAGATTTTTAGTATTTTGAAGCTTCTGGGGGTTTTTCCCCCCATTTTGAAGCTCTGTGACTTTCACAAAGATGAATAACTGGGAAAATTCCAGAATGGAAAGAGGAAAAATAATTTTAAAAAAATCGGAACAATTAAAAGGAAAGAGACATAACAGGAGGAGAAACCACTATACATCATTCATTCAGTTGCACTCAGTGGCAAAATGGAAAATAAGGAATAAGATAAAGGGGAAAAAACCCCCAAAATCTGAAAACTGCAAATCTGCAAACACTGAGAGAGAGAGGGGTCTATATGAGAAGGGCAGCCAGGATTGTTCAACACCAAATCCCTGCTCCAAAACCCTGTTGAAGCCGAGAAGGTCTTTTTATTGACTTCCAGAAGCTATGAATAACAGTGAAGTACTCACAGGCTCTACCTTAGGATCTCCCTGTCCTCTACTTCTGTCTAAGTTTTCATCTATTTAGGGCCCAGTTCTCCAAACATACTGATGGCTTGCTTATTAATGGGTACAGATGAGCTGATTCAGGGCAGTAAGCACCACACTACATGGTAGGCATTTGTTGATACGGATCTAGACTGAAAGTCCATGGTTCCTAAAATGTGATCCCTAGGCCCCTTCTACACATTACAAGGATTACACAATTAACTGGTTAACTGCGCAATTACCTCGAGACCAGCTACACATGCAAAGTAGCTGTCACATGATAAAAAGCTCCAAGCAGCTATAAAATTAAGACCTCAAAAATGTGCCCTAACTTCCTAGCTGGTTGCTATCAAGCTTTAATTTGCACGTGTAGCAGGGTCTCTCCTGCAACTGGGAGCCATGCCAGTTGACAGGGCTCCCAGCTACAGGGGGGCACCAACACCTGGCATGAAACCCCCGAGACCAAGGGATCATGGCTGCTGTGATCCCAAGGTTTGGTAGTTCATGAAACCCCAGGACCACAAGAGGCTCTTGGAACCAGCTGCACCTCACCTGCAGCTAGGACCCAGAGTCCCATAGCTGTCACCTCTGGGTCCCAGCTGTGTCTTACTCTCACAGTCCTGGCTGTGTGTGGCCCCCACAGCTGGGAGCCCCCTTAGCAAAGCGAGTTCCCAGTTGTAGGTGCCTGCTTCTTGCCAATGCAGGAGAAGCCCAGGATAGGGCCCCCTTACACCCGCAATAAGGCATGACTGGATCTAATGCAGGAACCCACAACCTACATGATTCACACCTCCTGCCAAGCACATGTGGCATGGCAGAAGGCACAACTGTGTGGATCACAGATTAGATCCAATCATGCCTTTACCTGCATGTGTAGAGGGGGCCCTAAATTAGCAAATGTCTACAGAACACCAGCAGTAGCTGCTGCCCTCCTTCATTATCTTCCCCTTCCATGATACAATGGCTGTCAGCAGCTGGAAGGTCACACTGTCATCACTCATTTGGACTATTTATACTCCACAGAGAATTGACTGGGCACACTTTGCTTTCTGCATATTAAATTTCTATGGAAAAGGACTAATGTCATAGCTTCAGGGATAGCATTTAAAGAGAGGTGACTCTGGCAAGTGTCAAGATGGAGGTGTCCATCAATCTCTTTTCCTATGTGGTCAACATTATGAGGATCCTTACAACAAAGCTGTTTAGGGAAGAGCTGGCAGTGCTTACTTCCATAAACAATTCCATTGATTTCAAAGGAATCACTATGGCTACAATGAAATGTGCATTTGCAGGTTTCTGAAGCACTGTTAAAAGTAGCACCACTACACAATCATTTTCAACATTCCTAATAAATAATAGCGCTCACCTTTGTTGCCAATGATTTGAGCTTTCCCAGAAGTGACTGTTTATTTGAATATACTATTTCCTCTTCATTATCTTCCCCTTCCATGATAGCACAGCTGTCAGCAGCTGGGAGCTCACACTCTTTTGAGTTTGCTGTCATCACTAATTTGGAATATTTATACTCCAGCCTAAAGGTATAAACACGGACAGTTATGGTTTCTTTTTTTTTGCCTGCTCAATGTCCCATATTCTAGCATTATGCAGACAGTGCAGATCTTCATAATTTTATCTGCAGCTACTCCTCCAAGTTAATTGTTAGGCATTTCTTGAGAATTGGAAGTTATATTTTAAGAACCAGAAATAAGAAACATGCCGAGAACTGCATTAGCAACTCGCTTTCTGTTTTGCAAACTAGAACAAACCCCATAAAGTCTTTAAATCAAGCTCCATGTGTCCCCCTATGTCAGTGGTTCCTAGTCTTTTTAGACCAGGGTGTCCAACCTTTTTAAATGTGGGGCCGGATCATGAACTTTTTATCACCCAGTGGGCTGGCAAGCCATATTCAAAGACCTCACAGGAAGTGGTATCACATCACCCCCACCCCACCCCCAACGAAAGTACAGTGTTTACTTTCATTTCCCGTCACAGCACCTCGGGCCTCAGAAAACAGCTTGGAGGGCTGCATGTTGGACAAGCCTGTTTTAGACTAATGGACCACTGTCAACACTCAACATTTCTCAAGACACCCATTTAGCCAGAGAAAGCCATTGGATCCTAATGGCCTTGTCTGGGGGTCACAGTCTAGGAACCACTACTCTAAGTCAAACTGCAACTGTAAACTTAATGCAGGAATCAGTAGATACAGGTAAATGATTCCAATGGTCCTTTCTGACCTGAAAACCTATGACTTCGTAAATATATATTACATCAGGGCTTAAAAGAGTCTTTAACTATCAGGGGTTAAGAGGAATATCCCCACTGGTAGATTATTCCATCCTTGCCTACTTTGGGATTTGTGTTACCTTTCTGTTAGAGACAAAAAACTAGAGGAGATGATTCAAGTTGGCATTTCCTATACTGTTCCAAAGTGCACAGGAATCAGAGTCTTTCCAGGGATCTCAGTGAGTTCTGGTTTGTGTTACCTCTGTGCTCAACACTTACTTCTGATTCTTCTTCCAGAAGTAGCAGGTCAAGGCTATGAGTAGGACAGCTGTGAACGCCCCAACACCTGCTCCAACTTTTAACCAGAAGTCCACTGTTTCGCAGGTACTGATCCTTTTCTCTGGCAAGGAAACCCCTTTGATGCACTGCTTTGGCTCATTCCATACATACAGGATCTCCTGGAAAGAGAATGAGAGGATATGAAAAAGTGGCTCAAATTCAGAGACTAATGATGAATAGTCTGAGAAGATGACAAGATGTTTGAGAGAGAGAGTACCTGGAGAGAGGAGACACTTACTCTTTAACAAGTCTTCTCATTTTAGGGTCAAATTCTCGTCAAATTAGGGTCAGACTGCACTGCACTGTGTACATTTTCCCCACTAAGATGGCATTAAGGGGCCATAAACTGGTTATAAATGCCCACAAAATAATTCCTCTGTGAACAAGGATTTCCTGCTGCCAACCTGTGTCTGTAACCCTCCATCTCACTCAGCATAGAGAGTGTGTTGGGGAAGGTAGGGAAGGGATGTGTGGTATGTGGGAGGGTATATGGCAGTAGCTTACTAGAGGGGTAGGTGATGGGGGCATGAGCTCTAGGCACTGATAAAGATGGGGGTGCTGGAACTGAGGCTTGGGGGAATGCTAGAATAGAAGCAGTTACTCTGCTAGTCCAGCAGCTACAAGCTATGGCTGTGGGGAGTGGCTGGGAATTGGGTAGCAACATCAAGGTAGCTCTTGGATCCTGCTAGATAAGTGCTGAGAGAGAAAGAAGCAGGAGGTGAAGACAGGGCAGTGTCCCCCTGCTGCCAAATTGGAGTTGTATTTCTTCACTCAGCATGGCATTTGGTAGCACCTCTCAAAAGAGAGGTGGGGACACCTTCCCACATAGCTGTCAGGCATCTAGACTGGCTCTGGCTCCACCATGATCTTCTCCTCTCTGAAGAACTAGATCCTAGCTGCTGTCAGGACCTGAGAGCCCCTGCCTTTACCACCTAGGTCCTGGACACCACCCAGAGCCTCAAGCATGCCCCTGGGTGCCCTCTGCAACTTAAGGACAACAAAGGAACTTGGTATGCCTCTCGGATGTGGTCTAGCACAGACTTGACATGAAGGACCCTGAACTAAAGGACCAACTTAAGATAGCCTAGAAAACACTTCAAACTTCAGAGAGCTTGAGAATCAGGGAGCGCTACAACACCGCACTGCGCATGCTGGTGCAGAATCCTGTGGTGCTGACAAAGGCAGTTCAACAGTGGCCACCAGCTCCACAAAACCATCCTGTTTGATTATTTATCAGGCCTCATACCTGAAATCCTTTTTTGCAAGCTCCCTCAATCTCATGGTAGTCATGCTCCATGCACAAAGGGCAGGCTTCAGCACTTTCCCACATGAAGTAGAATGTGCATCCATCACAGGTGCCGGCAGGGCATGAGCTGGGAGAAAAGGAAAGCAAAGCTTGGTTACCATTTGTGACAGATGTCTATCCTGGGGGATGGAGAAATGGCCCACCTCCTGTACAGCCAGCCTGTTGCTGAAGACTGCTAATGACCATTACAACAAATTACCCTACACTAATTCAATATTTTTAAAAAAATCAAAATGCCCAGAGAAAGATTTTGCAGGCAACGGAACACCTTGTGTCAAATTTAAAAAGTGACTTGGATGTCAAATTTCTGGAAATAATAGTGTGATTATGAGTGTGGTACAAGAACTTCTGCTGAACAGAATGAAATAGAACTTAAACCTATATTGAAGTTAACGGATTTATTCCAGATTTGCAAAATTACTGATAAAGTCAGATTCTCACCAGTTGTGCCAATCTAATCTCCTTAGTAGCCACGGTCTGTCACTGTGAGATATGGAATACTGTGTGAGGTAGATCTGTGATCTTTTTAGGTTGTTAGGTTACCTTTTGGAAATACCCTCAAAATCATTTTAAGATAAATATATTAAGGGTGACCATACGTTCTGGTTTGGCTGGGACAGCCCAGATTTCGGAGGCCAGTCCCAGCCAGCCAGTGAAAATTAAAATGAGTGTCCCAGGTACAGAGGCAGAGCAGTAGGAGCTGTGAAATAGGAAGCCCTAGCAGACTGCAAAATTGCCCTGAAATAGATTAGCATGATTAGTGGAATGACCATTAACAGTAATTGTTACTTCACAGGTCATTGTTGACACCTGTGCAGTACAGAGCATGGTTTTCACATCATCTCATATGGTCACCCTAAACATATTTTAAGCTGTTTTGGTTGCATCCATTTCTGATTTGCAGGGATCCTGGTCTTCTCCATTTAAAAAAAAATCCCCAATTTTGGGGTTATAAAAAGTAACCCAAAATCCACATTTTCCCATGATGAAAATGAACCACCACTAATAGATAGATAGATAGATATAGTGGTGTTTCATATATATACACATACACATCACACACACACATATATATTATATACACATACACAATATATACACACACACCTATTTTTTTATATATATTAGTGGTGGTTCATTTTCATCAGGAAAAATGTGGATTTGGGATTACTTATTTTAACCCAAAAATTGGGGATTTTTTTAAATCAGAGAAAGCCAGGATCCCTGCCGATTTCATATATTTGGTTTACACACACAGTCTAAGTGATTGTATTTGAGTGCGTCTTTGTCAGGTGTTCCAGATAATTAGAGTGACAGGAATGGGCACATTCACTGGCTGAGACTTGCTGTTACAGGCTGCTGTATACAGAAGCCCCACTTTTTCAGACATGGCCAATGATTCTGGGATGTCTCCACCCACACACTCCAAAATCAAGACAACCAAAGTCAGTTCCCACTTCTGAAAAACCTGGGCTAAGCAATTTTAGCTTTGTGCTCTGCTGCTTGCCGTGACTAACAGAAAGCTCTAGAGAGTTAGAGTACACACCGCTGCCTCATAAAGAAAAATGGATTTGCACAAACTGTCAAAATTATAGCTAGATTTCATCATAACTTCCACAGAAAACCCTAGCTAGCAAAGTTATAGAGATCTCTGCTCCAGTGCCTCTGAATGTTTTTATAAAGTATTTTTTTCAGAAGAGTTGAAAAATAAATGCCTTTGTGCTAAAAAGAGTATGTCAAGCCTATGCTTGATGTAACTTCATTGATATCATTAGCAAAAAAGCTATGCTTATAGGAGAAATCTTATACATTGCAAGAAAAAATGTTTATTTGGAGAGAACCCATCACTATTGTAGCTTCGCAGACAAATCCAAATCTGACCGATTCTGACCAATCCACAGGCATCAAATGCTTCAGAGATCAGTTTTGTCCCCATGTATTTTTCTAGTAATGACTCACTACAGTTACAGATACTTGCATGAAACAGAAACAAGACCCCAGTGCTCCAGTACTGTAAGTCAGGGCTGGTGAAGGCACCAGCAGGGTCCATGTGCCATGGGAGCCACACAAGAAAGGGCCATGCCCCGCTCCCTCATCATCTCCCCAGCTGCAAAGTCTTCCGGCATCGTGTAGACAAGCAGCTCCTCAACACCTCCTTAGCTGCAGACTCCCTTGCTGCACTGTGCCACAGGCTCCCCCAGCACTGCAGGATGCACCACTCTGCCATGCCTCACACCCTGGGACAGGCACAGGAGGTGAAAACCAGAGAAGAGAGGGAGAGCCTGCAGACCTTGGCAGCAGCAGCCAGCGATGAGGGGGGAATGGCAGCCAGGGGAAGCCCAAGGGCTGCAGATCACCTCCCTCACAGGCCACATGCCCTGCTGTGAGCAAATGTTGTTGGATAGCCCGATTAGAAGTAATCTCATTGCCACCATCACCACCACCACCCTGAAACTTAGGGAGGAGAGATGCTGATTTCCAGATCTTCGACATATTGTGGAGATCTGTTGTCAGGCCCAGTCTCTGAGATTCCTCAAACAGTATAGAGGCGCGGTGTAAAACCCTTTATCACTCTTCTTTTGCATCTGGCTGGCTGTTCCATATGAGATGGCTAGAGTCTGCTTCCTACTGGTCTAATTGTGATGTTTTGGGTGATTTCTTCCATATGTGGTAGACATGCCCTATAACAGTTAAATACCAGAAGGATGTTTCCCAGCCTACTGAACTGACAACTTCCTTTCCACAAGTCTGAGTATACAAACGTGCCTTTTTAATATTCAGGTAACAAAACAAAATATTACTTGCAACGCCATGATGATCGCTCAATTTTTATTCCCAGCAGCTAGATTTATAACAATTAAATGCAAGTCACAGCTAATAAGCAACTGGTTTAGGAAAGTGTGGAACACAGCTACTGTAGAAACATGGACTCATAAGAGACTTGCACTGTGACTCTGAAATCTAGTTGCCCATTTCTGGTGGTCCAGGGAGCTAAAAGCCCAATCTCATGCCTTAATTTTGCTACTTTAGAACTTCCTCTCTCAATTACAGACTATTTTCTCTTCATACATATCAAGGACACCAATAGACCTCTTTCCTGAACCCCTTGCTTAGGTTATAACAAGCAGCAAAGAATTCACCGATCTTTTAGACATTTTTGTTATAAATAAAAGTACTACTTTACCCAATACTAAATGCTGTGTGTGGAGAACAAGGGAGCTAGTGGGGGGGTTTGCTTGTTTTTAATAAATATCATGTGTCCCTTGGGTTATGTATTATCTGTTTTGGCCCATTTTGCTTCTGGCTGTATTTTGGGGGAAATGATACATAATACTTTGTTTTAAAGAAAGTGTTATTGAGTCATTTTAATCAGCTGCTGTCACAGGCTCATAGAGAAAAACGGGGCTTGCAGATGCTAAGCATAGTTGGGCTTGGCAGATCAACACAGCTGGTAACAGAGAGCTGCAGCTCAGAGGTGTGGCTCCATGCAGAGAGGGGAAGGCTAGACTGGAAGTGATCGTCTTTGAGCAGCTAGGCACCTAACTCCCTCCTACGATGCATTACAGGCTGGCAGGGGAGCTGCCTAAATTCTGCCTGTTTCCATAGAGGCCCAATCTATCAGGTGGTCACAGAATATGCCTAACAGCAAAAGGAAAGGGCTTCTGCAGGACCATCACAGCAAGACTAAGCAGCAGCCAGTTCACCGGGAGACGCCGTGGCCTGGATACTCATTTGGATGAAATGGACGTGGGCCTCTGATTAGTAAGAGGTGATGGAGTGTTTTACAGTACTTGCATAAGGTGACTAAGGAACAGGGCAAAAAAGTACCCTGGTGAAATCAATCTTGGCTTTATACATCAATGTAAAACAACATGGGGTTCAGAAAAGGACAGATGTGCAGCTATCCTGGGGTCTCCCCCACAATATCTGACTACTACTGCACCTCACCACTCGGTGGCAGAGAGCAAGTGCCAGCCTATTTGTTTCACGAGTGGCTCCTGTGCAATAAATGCCACTAGGTGAAACCTAAACTTGGGTAGCTTACACCCACTAGAGTTTTATCCCTGACTCTTTCAGAGGTAACTGGATTAGACTGGATGATGACTTAAGGATTTGCATTCTCTGTCTGCTGCTGCTTTGACTTTGGTGAAACGCCCATTTCAATAGTATGCATATTTTGTCCATCTACCCCCTAAAGCAGGGCTGTGCAATTAGTGGCCTGCGGGTTGCATGCAACCTGCAAGTTCTTAAAATGCAGCCCCCAGGCTCCTGCCCAGCAGCCAGTCCTGTACTCCCACCCTGTCACCCCCTCCCCAAGCTCCATGCTTCCCATCCCTCCTTCAACTGTGGCATTGTACCCTCACCCCAGGTAAGTCTGGGTCACATGCAAGAAAAGGAGTGAACTGGAGCCACGTGTGAGGGGGGAATTCACACCCAACCAGCCACACATTGCAGCTGGGATGGGAACTGCACCCGCCCAGTACAGGAGTAGGGAGAGTGCCTACAAGGGCACGTGGAACAACCAGGGGGAACGCCTGAGCAGCCTAGTGGCCAATGGCTCACCTGGTGCGGTCTGCACAGCATGCAGCCCCTGCTAGCATGGCCCCCAGTGGCCTAGAAGCTGGACAGCCCCGCCCTTAATATTTTGCTTAAAGAAAGTGGGGACACTTGGCATTATTATAATACAAATAATTAAATACCTGGGAACTGAAATATCTCCCTGATTGGGTTTGGAGGGGTCACATCTCATTGTCACAATGGTTGCACGTCCATTTTCACAAGAGGTTGTAACTGTGGAAGACCTAATCCAAAATAAAACAAAACCTGCAATAAATATTTAGCTCATTTTCACTAGGTATGCGTTGTGCAGTATTTGTACTTTAGATGCACAGTATTTGTATTTAAATACACAAATGTAAACACACAGCTTCAAGATGCATCTGCCCACATATGTATACGTACAGCTCTAGAGATACTGTCACACCACACTGTTCTTTGCCATTGTCAGATGAAAGGAGGAACAAGAGAGACAATTTATAACTGATTATATAATCATTTTACATCCCTGTGTGCTTTAAAAAAGTGCATTTCAGGAACTCTTCACTTAGGAACAGCTTCTTCCCGTACCAAAATCAAAGGATTAGAAAATGATAGCCATAAGCAGTATGGTCTGAGAGTTACTAAAAACCCAAGAAGCTACAAACAACTCTTCCCTGAAATAGCATAAGTTGGGCATGCCTCGGAGACCAGAACTCGCTGCCCCATTATGCAGTACAGCATAATAATCTGAGTCAAAGTATGGCCCTCGGCTATAATATTACCCCTAAGAATATGAAAAACAGGAAGAAGCTGGTATGATCTGGGCAAGTCTGAATCAAGTGATTTTTTTTTTCCTGTTTTGGTTTTGGAAACATGAATGCAAATATACAGGTGTTTCTACTGCCATAAACATTTCAAAGCAAATGAAGAAAAAACCATGGCAAAAAACATAAGATATAATATAGCACCTAGAGAAATCAAGGCTCTGGCTCCACTCTGTGTGCTCAAAACTAACTCAGATTTGTGCAGGTAATGGAGTTTACTGATGTCCTAGGCTGGTCATCAACACTCCTCTCAGCATTAGCCAGAGACTGGAGAAGTGCCTTAAGGATCTTCTGTCTAAGACTACTCTTCCATTAAACAAACACAGATCACTGATGTACCTCCAAGGTAGAATTTTCCACCTACTTGTAAAAGAAATGCACATCAGGTATTTTCCTTGGAGAAGGTGGAAACATTTCTGTTTTCATGCTAATATTTTCCAATGTGGTTTCCACTGTAGCTCCTAAAATAATAGCCGAAAGAAACAAGGAACAGGTTAAGAATGAGATTTTTGAAGGATTCATGTGCTGTGCTTTCACAGTCTACATGCTTTCAACAGATGGTACTTGACTTCTAGGCATGAATTCATCCAGTAACTTTGTGTTAAGTGCTATCTTTTAATATAAGTGAACTCTACAGATTTTTGTCTCTTTCAGACAAGGCACGAGCCTATAAGATAAAATGCATTATATAAGTTTAATGGTTATGAAACATAATTAGATAAAAATACATTACATAATCTTAATATAAACTCTATCATTGATAAATTGAAGTGTAAAAAACAGTCTTCATTTTTTTTTGTGAATTTACAGCTTTGTAAGGAGGATGCCAGATGCAGGACCTAAACTGTGCTGTCTTCCTTCAAAGGACAGGCATTTCTGGGCAGAAAGGGACAAGTCAGTGTGCAGTCCCCTGGAGCAGAAATTCCAAATGCAACAGAAAGATTGCGTAGACTTACAAAGTCATATGGCAAGTTTTTTATGATATGCAGTGGAATAAATGATACAGAATCACATGAAACTACAGGCTGCAGGGATCTTGGAAGGGAGCTAACCCAGAGAAAATCCAAGCAACCTTCTTAGAAATCCTTCTAGTCCCATGAGAAAGAGAAGACAATTTGGAGGTAAACTGCTGGTTGTATGACTGGTACGAAAGGTTAGGTTTTATGAAACACCAAGCCACTTCAGAAGGAGAGGGACCTGGCTGAATAGGACAGCAAAGGTTGACTTTCTTATGGGGGAGGGAGGTGCTCATTTTCTGCTGGAGACTATCAGGAGCAATCGGAAGGCCAGCATACAAGCAGGGTGCTAAGATGGCAAAGAACGTCAATAGAAGAAATATTTCAGCTGAGGAGTCTCCGAGGAGTGTGGATAAGAAGCCCGAGGAATCAGAAAGTCTTAGTAGTGTGGAAAACAACAGATATACTTGACTGAAACCTGCTGGGTTAACTCTCATGGTTAGATTGTTAAAAATATCTAAAACAATAGAACAGATCATTGAGGTACAAGGCCAGCAATCTATATTGCAGATGTCATTGATTATGCTAGTCATTGATAACTAAGGATTCCACATGCACATGGATTTATATGATGACTGACAAAACCCCAAAAGGGGGAAAGGCTGGGGTTTGTTACAGCTCATCAAATGGGATGCTACTCCATGAACATCTGGTGGTGAGGTAAGAAAAACTTTATTGTTATGGGGGGGCTTCATTTTCAACACACATGCTGGAGATCCCGTGAAGCCAGTAGTAAAATATTTTTAGAATTTCTAAATATTATAGTTGATAAGTATATCACCCAAAATACACTGGTCCCAGCAAAAGGTAACACTGATTTGGACCCCGTCATGTCAGATGAAGATGAACCGATCACTGGACAGAAAATTTGTTTACGGATCACGATCTGATTTCATTTAATATGGGCAAACCAAGGGGTGTCCTAACCGTATACTTTATGCATGCAGGTTTGTATGTATATACTTGGTGCTTCAAAAAGACTCATTTCCCAAAACTGAGAAGAATTATGAGAAAAACTGACTAGGGGGACAAAATGAGAGACAAAAGTGAATGAAAATTAGAATTCCTTGAAAACAAACCGATTGTTATTAGATGGCCAAAAAGCCCGCAATTCCTAAATAAACAACTTTGCCTAAAAGCCCAACTTCTGTACTAAGTGAAGGCAGCAATTTGAAATAAAAAAATGGAATATAACTAACAAGAAAAAAGGGACGTAATTAAATCAATTAAAATTAAAAAGTTAGGAAAAACAGAGAAGTACTAAAAGAAACTAAAGATATTAAAAAAGCCATCATGGCTGGGGGCAGCACTAAAGGGCAAAAAGGAGGTAATTAAGTACATCAGGAACAAAAGCAAACCTACTGATATTAGAAGCCTGTTACCATAATAGAGACAGTTACATTGTTAATCGCTCTGCAAAAAAGACAGAAGCGCTTCATAAATATTTTTGGTCTCTGTTTGGAAAGAAACAGGATGATGAAGTCTATTAGTAACTAAGAAGGATGTTAATTAGCATCTACAGAGCACAAATGCTTATGAATCACTCAGCCATGGTAACTTAGATGCAGGGGCCCTAGCAGAGTTGGCTGAGGAGATATCTAGCCTGATATTCATTTTAAATAAATCTTAGGATGCTGGGGAAATCCTGAAAGCATGGTAATACTATGTCAATATTTAAGTGCTAGTAGGAAAACGTAGTGATTGGCTGGTTAGCCTGACATCAATCCAGAAGCAAATAATCTGCAGATGGCAGAGCACTCAATCAGAGAAGATCTAAAAGTGATGAATATAATTAATTGCAATCAACATGATTTTATGGGAAACAGTTCTGATAAAACAACCCTAATTCCATTCTTTGATAAGATTTCAAGTTTGGCTGATAAAGAAAACTACAGAGAAGTAATTTTTTTTCATGAAGCATTTGCCTTACTTATGTGTTCAACACATGATTAAAAACAAAGCAATATAATGTCAATAAAGCACATATTAATGAATTAAAAAGCAGTCAACTGAGAGATGTCAAAAAGTGGTTGTCAGTGGGAAATTATAGTCCAATGGAGTGTTTCTACTGCCATCAATATTGGGCACAATTTCATTCAACAATTTCATCAGTGATCTGGAAGTTAATAAATCTCTACTGATAAAATCTGTGGAGGGCACAAAGATTGCCAGAGCTGTAAGTACTGATGAGGACAGAGTAATACAGAATAGTCTGGATCATTAGAGAGGATGGGCCAGCTCAAATAAAATGTGTTTTAAAACAAACTTACATAGGAATGAGGAAGGCAGGCCACAAAAGAGTAGCACAAGCAAGTCAACAGGAGCTTCCAATGCCATGATGCGGCAGGGAGGAGTAACGCAGACATGAGATAAAGAAGGATGCAGTGAATGGAGGTAAAGAGGTGAGACCAGCACTAAACCACATCACCATTTAAAAAATATGGACATGAGAATCGTATGTTCAAACACTGGAAAGAATGCAAAAGAGAGTCACAAAAATGGTCTAAGGGGAGGAAAAAAGATTTATAGTGATAGACTTAGAGCTCGATCTGTTCAAAGCAAAGAGTGCATATTGACTACAGCATTGAAAGGGACGTCTATATTGTCTCTCCCCTAAAATATTGGGAGGAGACAATCGCAAGCATGCCCCATCCACTTGCACTTGCCAAACCCAGAGTGGTTTCATGCCAAATTTCTGGGGGTCTTACCACATGGCCATTCTCAATGCCTCTGTCTCTGGCACTTGAGCAGCTCCATGGGATGCCCCAGAGTAGTTTCACCACCAGCTGGGATTTGCCTAGGGGGGAGCAGTCCCTACTTCTGCCCCCACCCTTCTCTGTGACAGCACAGCCCACCCCAGGGCTGCAAAGCATGCTGAGATGCTGGTGGACTGTGATTTAACTTAAACCAGGAACGGGTCTAGGACAGAAGTATCAGACTTAGCTGACAACCCAAGTCAGTTAAGTCTGATACTATATTCAACCAGGTTTATCTTAAACCAGTTTCAGCCATTTTGAAACTGGCTAATGTGCACTGAACTTCTGTTCTGTTACAGGTTTAAACCAGTATCTGATTACTTAAACTAGCTTATATGTAACTTCTGTCCCTAGCCCAGGTCACAGCCTCCTGAGTATGGGAGTGGGTGACAGACAGCCTTCCTGACTTGCATCATTTTCCAAAACACAGTTGACATGCCGGGAACAGCAGCAGGAGGTGGTATAAATCAGGAGCTATTTAATTCTCCCTTTCAGGAAAGGTGAGTCCAGGACTGAACTGTGCCTCTAACTGCCTTTCTGGTCTGCTCCTGGGAGGACAAAGCTATGCACAGGTTTCTTCTCCAAACTACCATCTCTATTTCCCCTACCAAGTATCTTCAAGAAAGCTTGCTTAAAACAGTCTAACTGAGAGATGCTTCCTCTTTTGTTTCTGTACTGTGTTATCCGGTCCTGTGTCCTCTTTTGCCTGAAAAAAATAGGAACCTGTCATGCCTCAAGCCTAACTTGCCTATCAAGGGCTGAGGAGTGCATCTCCTCAAGGATCAGAGAAAGGGAAAAAACAATTGCCACACAACTTCACAGAGGTGCTGGGAAAATTCCACTGACGGGATTAGACCATGAAGCAGTGTTGCCCCTTCTCTTATTTGTAGATGACCAATCTGTAGAGTGTGTATTAAGTGCAAAGAGGCAAAAGACAAAACCACATACCTAAAAATGCATCAGCAAGACTGTTGGACTGCAGAGCCAGGGCTGTCCTGAACCCCTTGCTGTCAGATGGGATGATGGTAGACTGGCACACAAAAGCTCCCATGAAGTTTGAATCATCTTCTGATTCAGCCACCATATCCTTTAGAGTGACATCCGTTATGTTGTCAGTGCAAATGGCCATCTTCTTCCCCTGTAGATATTAGACGAGGGTGAAAATGGGCTTTTATTTCCTGCAGGATTTTCACAGACTTGGGAGGGAGAGAAAGTAAAGAGGGAAGGTGCGTTCCTCTCATGACAGCTTGAAAAGAATTTGTAATTGT